GTTTCATTTAATTGTTTTCATAGGTAGTAGCATTTAAATACAAAGTGCATTTAAATTTAAATCAATAGTATCTATTTATATGTTTCATTTAAGTATCTACTAAAATCGCAAAGTAAAAATTTAACATCTTATTTATTATTATTTATTAAATTTTTTATTAATTAAAAATATCCTATTGCATACAATAAATGAAACAGGTTTTTTTATTGCATATAACATCATTGCTTATATTTTAAACGCTGTAACATTACCTAAGTGCACAACAATGGTATTAAGTTCATCCAGAAATAAAAAACGTAAAAACGAAGTCTAACTTATATAACCCAATAAATCTAACGAAAAATCAGACAAAAAAAGTGATAACAAATTTCCTCGCCCTGGCGATATAATAACGTTGGTAATATCTTAAAAAAAAATGTCCTCCCCAACTCAAAGGGACTACTATTGTCTAACGTGATATCTTCATAAAGTGCAGTGGGTGAGTAAAAAAAATATATAAACCATTTTAAATTAGTTATTTTTGGTTTTTGTAGTTTTACTTGAGTATATTGCATTTTTTAATAAATAAATATTAATTTAAAATACTATAAACACGCTTAACGCACTAAAAAGTATAAAATTTACTTAAAATATTTTAATGTATTATAAAACTTGTCACTTCAAAGATTATGCCAAAAAGCATTGGTTACGTGTCTTTGAGAAGCATTTACTTTTAATTTTTTTGTCATAGTCATTAAAATTAAGAAGTGACAAATTTATTAATAGCACAAAATATTTTACGGAAATTATGCGTTAAAGCCTGGTTTTAGTGTTTTGACTTTTATTTATTTTTTACTTTTAGTTGGTTAATTTTTTAACTCATCCGCCATATTTAAATTAGATTAAGGTAACTTTTTCTGCCTGACAAACCATTTCATTTAATATCCATGTCAAGGAGGTTGTGAAGAAATAAGTAATCCGCCATTTTCGGGCAGCCGCCATATTGGATTTAGTATGAAATCACTAATCTTACCGTTTCCTACTCATGAAGCCCTTTCATTTGATACTCATGTCAAAAAGTTTAAAAAGAAAAGTAGGTTGAAATCGACTTCCTAGATTTGTGGACATATGTATAAGCTTTACTATGTAACTATAGTTTCAATGTAGGCTTATTAGGGTGCTTCAAAAAATAAAATTTAATTTTTTTTTCGCTCTTACTCTCTCAAATGTTTCTATTTAATATAAAAAAATCCTCACCAAATATGGGCGTTCCAGCTCAACTCTAAGAGGTCGCTGTTTTTATTTTAGTTTCCCATTTAATTAACATGGGAAAAAATAATTTTATATTTGGAATTTTATACCTCTGTATCAAAGTAACTTATGGCAATGATCATTGCAGTTTCTTATATAAAATGTAACGCTCTACAAAAAAGGTCTCTTATTATTTTTCGATAAATTGATTTCATATAGAGTTATTCGAGGTCAAAGTTTGATTAACATCAAATTTTCTGTTTTTTTTTAAATTTTATGGTACAATTAGCAGACGGGAGGTGAAAGGGGGCAAAACAATGCCGCGGTGGGGCAAAATGGGGTACCCAAAAAATTTCGTAAAAAAAATTGTTTTAAGATTGTTTTTTTTCGGTTTCTAAATTATTTGAAAATTGACTCACAAGTTCACGCATTTAATCGAAAATAATTATTCTGAGCCTGTAGAGCGAGAAAAAGGATTTTTGGAAAACTTTTCATATGCTCATTTTTTGGGTACCCCATTTTGACCCCCCCCGCTGCCTTGTTTTGCCCCCTTTCACCTCCCGTCTGCTACCATACAATTAAAAAACCAGAAAATTTGATGTTATTAAACTTTGACCTCGAATAACTCTAGAAGAAATCAATTTATCGAAAAATAATAGGAGACCTTTTTTGTAGAGTGTTACATTTTATATAAGAAACTGCAATGATCATTGCCATAAGTTACTTTGATACAGAGGTATAAAATTACAAACATAAAATTATTTTTTCCCATGTTAATTAAATGGGAAACTAAAATAAAAACAGCGACCTCTTAGAGTTGAGCTGAGACGCACATATTTGGTGAGGATTTTTTATATTAAATAGAAACATTTGAGGGGGTAAGAGCGAAAAAAAAATTAAATTTTATTTTTTGAAGCACCCTAAGTCTTATACATAATTAAGGGTAGGGGAAGGTGGGGGAATTTTGCGCGGTGGGTAATTTTAAGCATAAACAATTCTTCCAGATATGAAGTAAATAATACATTTTTTGAATGTTGCAAACTTGGAAACGTTGCTTTGGGTATACGGGGACTAAAGTGTACCGCAATTAAGCTTGTAGCTTTTAGCTAGTGAACATGGTCACTAGCTAACTGTGATACATGTACGTTGATCTAAGAAATCCATGAGTTAAGTTTAAATTTCTGTCCAATCGCTTAAATGTTTATATCACAACTTTATATGATCTTTCCTCGTAATCTGGTGTATGTTTAAATTGTTCAGGTTAACTTTTGGAAAGTTTTTTAGTATCACAATATTTTTCTTGTAATGGGGGTAATTTTACGCTGAAAAATTGGGGTAATTTTGCGCGGCCAATATGGGAGCTTTGGTACAGGAGCCTATAATTTATAAATTGTTCAGCATAAACAGTTCCATTTGGGCACACGCGGAGTGTAGCGAAAAAAACAACCCCTAAAACTACATATGTGACAATTGCTGCATGTAGACCCTCCTCTTATTTCTAAGAACAAAAATTTTATTTTTAGTTATTTATTTTTGATTTTGTTTGTTTTGTTTGTTTCATAGAGAAAATAGTTTTGTTTTATTTTTATCTTTTAATATAATAATATTATAAAAATAAACGGTTTATTTAGATACCTACAAATCTTTCTCTATACAGCGCAAATTTTCCCCCTATGATGCGCAAAATTACCCTGATAGGTGGGTAATTTTGCGCAAATGCATTATTTAAAAAATGTAGTTTTTGCATACCAAACAATTTTTTTTATAAATTGCGCATTATATACACATAGTAAACATAGTAGACTATCGCTGGTATTAATTGCAAAATTTTACATTTAAACTTAACAAAGATACCTACTAGAGATTTTGCTTAGATGCGCAGAATTCCCCCACCTTCCCCTACACAGCAATACCACAGATTTCTTAGGTAAAATATTACGATTTAACCAAATTTGCCAGGTTCAAGGCACCCCTCTTATTGTGATTTGGAAAGATAACGTTTTTTAATGGGTTAAGTTACTGTTCAATTTGTTTGTAAGAATTTTTTGTTTCGGGGTTCACTGAACAATTTAAACGCACGTATCTCAAAAACAGTTTCTCGAAGCGGCATTTACAAGGTACTCTCTTAAAAGGTCAAATTTTAAATTAAATTAGTCAAAAATAACTAATTGTCATAGCGAAAAAGCAGCCACTAATAATTCTAGTCAACAGCAATTTGTATCTCGGACATTTTTATTTTTAATTTAGAATTGACCCGGGCCCTATTTTTATCTAAAAACGCAATATATCCAAAACAATTTCTAAAACGTAAAAATTGCATTGTACCCTTATTAATTTTTCATAAAACTCAGCGTTTACATCGCCAGGGAGGAAGACACAAAACTGCAATAGACATTTGACAGGTAGGCCGTAACAACGTTGTATATAACAAAAGAAGTAAACGAAATAAATCGCAAAAAACGATACGAACTCATTAAGGTGATAATAAAATGTCATAGTTGGAAAGTTTACTAGATTTGCTATAAGAATATTGATTTCTATTAAAAAAGAACATATAATACGAAATATAAAGGCGTAGAGTAGTCCAGGAAACAAAGATTGTAGAAGGAAAACTCGATGGTAGTCGGGTTTTATTTTTTTTATGGGGGTTCTGATAATAAATTAAGAATATTTCCCAAGAATATTTCCCAAAAATTTCTTTACGCGTCCCCTAATTTTATCCCCCGAAAGGGGAGTTTTTTTGCTTTTTGGCTCATAACTCGCTAACCGTGCATTTTTTCAGAATTTGACCTCCAATTCTTTTGATTTTGTACTAAATAAGGCACACGTTAAACCCCATTGCGCACCTATATGATGTGCATTTATGCTATGCGCAGTGTGCAAAATTAAGCGTTGCTTTCAAAATCACTTTTTTGTTTTTTTTTATTATAGCCCAATTTTAAAAGTAATCGATCCCAAACCTTACGGTAATCAAACATAACCGAATGGACGATTTTTTGAGGTACTAGACTCTTTTCAAAAGTTACTGCCTTTCAATGAACAGAGGGTTCTTTTTTCAAAAAAACCCATTTTTTATTTCCCAAATGGCTTTAATGAGCCAGTTCGTTCTACTCTAGATTTTTAGGTACACTTATCCTCGTAACGAATCCGTAGTTTTTTTAATTATTTTTGTGCCCCACAAAAATTAGTTTTGAAAAACCCCCTGTACATTAAAAAGCAGTAACTTTTGAAAAAAAAGTTATGTTTGATTACCGTAAGGTTTGGAATCGATTACTTTTAAAATTGGGCTATAATAAAAAAAAAACAAAAAAGTGATTTTGAAAGCAACATTCAACTTTGCACACTACGCATAGCAAAAGGGCACATCATATAGGTGTGCAATAGGGTTTAACGTGTGCCTTATTTAGTACATAATCAAAAGTATTAGAGGTCAAATTCTAAAAAAATGCACGAGCGAGTTATGAGCCAAAAAGCAAAAAACTCTCCTTTCGGGGGATGAAATTAGGGTACGCGGTAAGAAATTTTTGGGGAATATTCTTGATTCATTATCAACACCCCTGACTCTACATAAAAAAAATAACACCCGACTACGATCGAATTTTCCTTCTACAATCTTTGTTTCCTGGACTAGAGCTCATTATTGTAAAAATCGCCGGTAACAAAATGTTACTTACAACGTTGTTACGGCCTACCCTTCATTTTTTGCTGCTTATTAATCGGATGAAAAAGTTTAAATTTACCGTGCTATATAAATGTGCGTTATTTTTTAGGTAAAAAGCATCCTCGGGTGCCTATAAAAACATACAAGTGGGAAGACGTATACAGATCGCGTCGCAAGGGTGGCTATCCGTGGACTCATCTCTATAAAGAACCTTTCGGTGAGGAGTTGTACCCTGAGCAATACACCATGGACGCACTGCGTAGAAGCAAAAGTAACTCGACCTTCGACAAATCGGAACGATCTGACGGTGTGGAAATTGAAGAGATTTTCGACGACGAAAGCAATTTGAGCACCGCAGGAAGTACAGCGAAACAGTGTATAGAAGTAACGGAGCCCGACGTTGATAGTAAGTCTGATAAACTACTCGAGCCCAAAAGACTGCAGATATTCACGATAGAGTCTGCGGAAAGTTTGGATAATATTAGTCAGTATTTAGATAATGAGCCTGAAAAGGAAAATGTACCTGTTAAACCTAAAGAACAGCCCTCGACGGCGAGAGCGACATCTGAAGAACCAAGAAAACGAAAATTATCTGGTGAATCTAGTTACAGTAGACTTAGTCTGCCGAAATTTGCTGCTTTTAAAAAGTTAACTAAAAGAAAACTTCCTAAAATCAGTTTTCCTACATCAAACATAAAGAGAAGCAAAGCGCCCAAGAAATCTTCTCCTACACAAGTTAAAAAGGAAACAAAATTAAGAGCTGTTGATTATACGAATGTAAAAGCTGAATACATACACATACCTCTTAAACCGCCACCTGGCGAACAAGATGAATTCTCGTATTTGGAATTTGGAGAAAAGAAACCTGACGTTGCTGAAAAACCTAGTCAACCCAGTTTTAAAGATTTAGTGAAAGCGATTAAAGCTGTTGAAGATGCCAAAAAAACCTTAGAAAAAGACGATGGCGTCGAGGTTATGGACTTTACATTACAAGAACCAGAAGAAGAGAAGGCTGATAAACCGGAAGAAGTTCCTAAAGAAAAAGTACAAGAAGAAATTAAAAAAGGAGCAGAAGAAGCAGATAACAAACAGGAATTGAAGGAAGAAGCAAAAAAAACATTCCCCAAACTGTTTAAAACAAAGTCCAAAACTATTTCTTCAGAACCATATAATACTACTAAAACCACTATCCGAATACCCTTACACTCTGAACAGTCCATGGAAAATGAAAATGGTAAACAAGATCAAGAAAAAACTAAACAAACAGAAGCTATTGCAATGAAAGAAGCTGAAAATAAAAATGTCGAAGAAATGGAACCAAAAACTAAAACTGAAGATCTTAAATTAAAAGAACCAGAAGCGCTAGCTGAAGAACCTCAAATAAAGGAAGAATCAAAAAAATTACTTTCTAAATTTTTTAAGAAACCTACTGCAAAGAAAGAATCCAAAAAGATCTCTTCGGAAGCATTAAAATACAATACTGCTGAAGATACTATTCGAATACCTTTGCATTCAGAAGATTCTATAGACAACAGTTTAGATACCTCACATGATAGTGAAAAAGAGCAAGAAAGTAAGAAAACAAAAGATACTGAAAATAAAACATCAGAATCCAAAATAGAAAAAGTCCAAATAAAAGAACCCGAAACCAAAGACGAATCAAAGAAAGAAACAAGAACTGAAAATGTTGAAATAAAAGAATTAGAACCAATAGTAATAGAACCTCAAATAAAGGAAGAAAAAAAGACATTCCCTATGTTTTTCAATACACCTATTTCTAAAAAACAATCCAAAAAGATTTCTTCAGAACCATTAAAATACAGTACTACTAAAGACACTATCCGTATACCTCTGCACTCTGAAGATTCTATGGACAATGGAATAGAAACTCCAGACAGCGAAGATATTAAAATAGAACCGACACAACAACTGGAAGAAATTCTAGCAAAGAAATTAAAGGAAAAAATAAGCAGTCCAAGCGTGGATGAAACAGAACCTGAATCAGAACCCGAGGTAAACAATGACTTTTTTGATAAACTTTTTGAAAAACCTCCTCCAGTCCCAGAAACTTCACAAGTCAAAAAAACAAATGTTCGGGCCAAATCTGCAGAACCAGAACGAAAAAGGAAGATGTCCATGGAAAGTAGCTATAGCAAAAAGAGCACTTCAAGTACCTTAAAGAAAAAATTTAAGAATGTAAAAGATAAGATTAAGTTTCCTTCGCTGGGAAACTTGCTGCCAAAAAAAACTCCCAAACCTGAGAAAAAAGAAGAAAAGCTACCGACTAAACAAGAAAAGAAAGAGTTAAAACCAATGAAGTTTGTAGAACCGGTTTATATACACATTCCTTTAAAACCAGTAGAAGGTGAAGCCGACGAATATTCTCATGTGGAAAGCGAAACAGCTTTAAAAATAAAGGTAAATGTAGATGCAGAAAAACCAGACGAAGAGTCAACTATGTCAAGCCCAGATTCTGTTAAAGAAGGTGTACAATTTATATATTTAACAGCGCCATCTGATGACGAAATTTTGGATGCGCCAGATGTCCCAGACACTCCATCATCGGACAAATTTTTCGGTAGCGATATAATAGAATTAAAAGTACTGGCCAAAGACATCGTTGATGAAATTTCGCCACAAACGAAGCGAAAAGTGTTAGATCCAGTCAGCGAAGAAATACCCGATGATAAATCAGACGAATTCGATAAAGAGGACGGTTTAAAAATTTCTGGACCAGAATGTTCTAAAACAGAGCAGCTAAAATCAAACTTGAAGCAAGAAGGTTCGCCTTTGCTCAATAGGAAAAAGGTTTCATTCAAGAGGAAGTCGAAGGAATCCAAGGACGATGACTATGAAGAAGTATTACCCAGTGATGATAGTTTACGAAAATCTACGCAAAGCTTGACGCTTCCAGAACAGGAGCACGAGAAAGATGAAAAGATTAAGGAGGATCTTTTCCCAGAAAGCGCACCTAAATGGTCTGAAATAAGGTAAGAACTGTATTTTTATACTTTTATTTAACACTTTGCCTCATAGATTAAAAATAACATTTTTCAGTGATTTAAAAAAATTTAAGATAATTGAGTTATTATGTTTGAGACAAAAAAAACAGAGATCCTGCGATGACGAAAATTGTATAGTGTAGTTTATAAAAACAGGAATCAATCAGTAGTTATAACTATGGTCCAACGAAAAATAAGTCGATATGCATTGTTTTATTTTCTGCAAAACCTCTTTCCAAGAGAGAAAAAGCTTTTCAAAATTTAATTTTGAGAATCGTCTTTTTGTCATCACTCTCATATTGTTGAAGACGTAGAAACCCCTGGTTGCTTCACTTCTTTTGATCTATTTTTAATACTTCTGGACTCGGTCCAGAGTGATGTTTATTAATGATAATAAAAAAGGATACGCACTAAATAAATCATAGTAACGTTTTCAAATTTCAATTAAACAAATAATGAAACATTCGATTTATAAATAAATTAATGTAACGACTATTCAAAACAATTTGCTACGCTGGACTGACTTAAGATTAATAGCATATTGCGATTGATTTCTGCACACGCATTCTGGATTGTTTCTAGAAGCTCCTCCCTTGTGGCCACAGGGGTCGCATAGACCGTGTCTTTGAGGTGACCCTATATATAGAAATCTAATGGGGTCAAATTCAGTTATCGTGGCGGCCGATCTATCATTCTTCAAAATTTGTATCCAGCCAGTTACGAACAAGTCTACCAAAATGTGCCGGACATCCATCTATCTTGAACCAGTCTTCGCATGCCAATAGATACATCATCCCATATATTAGCATTCTCGGTCTCGAGTAACGCCAGGAAGTTTTCAGAATTCAGCCGCTACATAAGTAGATAAGGCTCAAAGAGAATGCCATTATAAATCACGACCCACACATTGATACAGAGCTCGTGTTGGAAATTGCGAGGCCTTATTTCATGTGGATTATCATGTGCACAAGCTGGTTGTGGAAATTTACAATCCCGCGTCGAGTCAAACATGACTCGTCGGTTAAAGATGAAAGGGTCGTCTATGATCCTGTTTTAATACAAGTTGAATTGTAGTTTTAAGAATTTTAATGGTTATAGACACTCTTTGAGGATCTCTGTTAAATTCACGCAGGACGCGATTATTTTTTCTTACTTGATTAGTGTTACGATAATTGGCATCCTAATTAGGATGCCTATGTGAGAACTTCTATCCTTGCGTCATGAATAGGTTGTGCGTTACCGTATTCTTGATCTGTGAACATCTATTTGATGTAAAGGGTGTTTTTTAAGAACGATATAACTTTAAACTTGAATAAAAAACACAATAATTAACTTTTGATAAAAAATCTGTTTGGCATTAATATTTAAAAATGATTTGAGGCATATGGCCACTACGAAGGGCAATTTTGGGTCACTCTTTCGAGCAATGGTGGCCGTATGTCTCAAATAAACAATGTTAGCTTCTAAGGTTTCCAGTGTTGCTGGATTATTAGCATAAACCAATGACTTCACGTAGCCCCATAAAAATTATCGAGGCGTCAAATCGCAAAACCTGGGTGGCCAGTTGACAGGTCCATTTCTTGAAATTAACTTATCACCAAATCTGGTTTACAATAATTCAATGGTTTCGTTTATGGAACGGTATCATTCCCCATTGACCGTTACGTTAACTCCAACCTTATTTTTAAAGAAATATGGTCCGATCAAGCCACCAGCGTGTAAACCGCACCAAACTGTACATTTTTCTGAATGCAATGGGGTCTGTAGGATCTCTTCTGGATTTGCATCACACCATATTCTGCAATTCTGCTTATTAACAATTTGTTAATAACAAACCCATTGAGCCAAAAATGTGCCTCATCGCTGAACACAATTTTGCGATAAAAGAATGGGTCAGCTTGCAACTGCTCTAAAGCCCAATCAGTAAAAGAACGACGCAAACGATGGTCTTGTGGCTTCAATTCCTGCACCAACTGGATCTTATATGGGTGTAACCCAAGATCTTTGCGCAAAATTTTCCACGTGGTGGACGGACAAAGCCCCAACTGCTGCGATCGACGGCGAATCAATAATTTGGAATTTTCTTGCACACTTTCCTTTACGGCAGCAATATTCTCTTCAGTACGCACATTCCTTTGACGTAACGCTGTTTTTGCATCCTTTAAAGAGAGAACCTACCACAGTGCGACGGATGGCTTGTTCAGATGGACGATTATGTGCAACGTAAAATTTACGAAGTCGTCTATGTGTTCCGCAAATCAAATTACTTTTAAAGTAAATTTTGATAATTTCATAACGTTGTTCAAGCTTGAGTCTATTCCTAATGATTTGCCACACTATACTAAATACAAATGTCACTAATAGCTTGCAAAATGACGGTTGATTCCAAAGCAATTACGATCAGAAGTTCTTACAAAAATACCCGTTATTTAACGTTTAAAGGCCGATTCTCACATAGCGACGCGACGCTAGGCGGCGCTACGCAACGCTAGGCGGCGCTACGCAACGCGATGCTTCAAAATCGCGCCCTATTGTCGCTCCAGGAAGCGACAAAATTTTGTCGTGTCGCGTTGCTGGCGCGTCGCGTCGCTATGTGGGAATTGTTTCATTTAAATGCATGGAAATCTTTCACCAGCTACATTTTAAAGTGTCGCGTCGCGTAGCGTAGCGTAGCGTCGCGTCGCTATGTATAGGCCGATTCTCACATAGCGATGCGACGCGATGCTTCAAAATCGCGCCTTAATTCTCACATAGCTGCGCGACGCGTCGCGACGCAACACGACGCGACGCAAACTACTTTGAGTAGCATTTGCAATACGGTACGGTTAGTTCGGTTTAGTTCTTGATAATGAGTAGTTCATCGTCTTCAAGTGAAGAAGAAGATATAATAGTTGTGACATTATTTTATGAACACCAAAAAAAAAAAAAAGAAAGAGGCGCTATTGAGTCCATAATATCTGTAAATTTCTTCATTTATCGGCTCTATTTATTACGCATTTTTTAAAGTTTATCGCACATTTGCTAATAATAATAATTATTAAATAAGCATACCTACCGGTCAATTAAAATCACTTAGTGTAGCAAAACTTGTCGCGCGTAAATTCACACATGCCTACTTTTAGCGCGCCGCGCAATTTTGTCGCTCCAGGAAGCGACAAAATTTTGTCGAGTCGCGTTGCTAGCGCATCGCGTCGCTATGTGGGAATTGTCTCATTTAAATGCATGGAAATCATTCATCAGCTACATTTTAAAGTGTCGCGTCGCGTAGCGTAGCGTAGCGTCGCGTCGCTATGTGAGAATCGGCCTTAAGAATCGGCCTTAACAATACTGATAAATGTCATTGCCTAGTTTGTTGGTTATTTTCTTAGGTGGCTACTTTAAAAGTGTTCTTAACTTATAACTCGAATTATACAACTTTTTTTTGATATCCAGTGGCGTAGAAAATATAAAATACTTCAAGTAATGAGTATCTATTACATAAGTTCTTGTACCAAATTTGGTAAAAAACGCTTTAATGACCTAAGATTTTTGAAAAAAAAAATATGCATGTCGACTTATATATATATACGTCTCAATCTTCTATAGGAGGGTTTCCCAACATTTTTTGGGTTGAGCCTCCCCAGATTATAAAAAAATATATTCATGCCCTCTTTTATTTTTTTCATCTTTGAACCACAACCGAATAAATTAATGAGTGGATTACAGACTTCAAATATTAAACTTTCTTTAGAATGTCCGAACACATTGAGCCTCCATTATGATCTCTTTACGCCCCCTGTTCTATAGTATATAGGGATATATAATTGGAGAGTCTGTCTATTTTGTGTTATAAGAATCTTTGGTTCAGAACCGGATATATCCTGAGCTCTTTAATATCAAATCCGGAGTTGTCCATTATTTTGCCGTTTCCCCCGTATTTCGTAGTTTTTCTATTCTACATGGCTCATATACAATATAGATAAATATATATATATATATATATATATATATATATATATATATATATGTAGAATCAAAAGTATCCATGTCCTCTGCTGTGCTAAGCAACAAGTTGGTAAATAGGTAGATACTGCAGTACATGCTTACCATGGCAGAGGACATGTCCAATTTTGATTTTACAGGGCTCATATACGTAAAAATAAAACGACTGTCCAAAAATAAAATAAATTGTTTAATTAAATTGTGACTGTGTTATGTAATAAAAAATTATATTTTTTACTTCAAAATATTATTATATTAATACAATATGAGATCAATTTGTAATACTCAAAATTTGAAACACTTATTAATCTTGTTCCAAAAATATATTTTACCAAGCCACTAGCATACGCATTGCGCTGTCTATTTTAAGAATCTATCTGAAAGTTGAAAACTCTTTTTAACGCATAGTACATAGTAAATAGATCATATAATTTCGATTAAAGTAATAGATAAATATAAGTTCACGATCGTACGCCATGAACAAGGTGATGATTTTTTTTGCAAAAATGCCTTAAATTAACAGGTCTGACACTAAAAATAACGTGACTCGTCTCTCGGTCGTTTTTGCTCGTTTTCCCAAGCTAACAATAATCGGATGCTAAAATTAACTAGTTATCCGTGTATATTCTAGAAAGATGTGCGGTTGCGGGGAAAATATGTGAACGTAATAAAAAATTCTCCAAAATCATCTGTATCTAATGATATAATGGAGTCTGTTAGAATCGGGCCGAGTGCATACAAATCAAGGACTAGGCGGCATAGCGACGATGCAACTGAAAAAAGATCCCTTTCGGAGGGCGCCAAAAGAAACGAAAAGCTTCGAAATGTCTCGCGTCAAGCCTCCAAGGGATCTTCTGTTATGTCATTAGATGTTAGATGCGCTTGTCAATATTACAAATGTGACTCACTACTGCCAGACAGAATTAGTCTTAAGGGTGCCAGGCCACCAATTATTCGTATCAGCAACGCAACTGCTGGCTGGTAGGTCTTTTTAAACAAAAACAATTTAATTAAGCAATGATACTACCCATTTAATTGCCAAATTAGTTTGGTGAGTTTTTTATTAACATACAAATTAAATACATTCTTGGCTCACATACAGTACTTTCTTGGAAGTAGAATGTATTTATTTTATTTGGGCGCAATTAATTAATATCATTTTTAGCGATCATGAATATGAACCGGTTAACCCACCCCCGGAAGAAACAAAAGCACCTCAACCCCAACCGCAACCACAACATCAACAACCCGTACCACCTCAAGACAACATAATAATATTGGACACGCGCGAAGAAGTAGCAGTGATTCCAATTGTTGATCCTGTGTCGCCACCGACTACTATAGAAAAACATGTTACGGTCACAACGCATGAAACGCCTCTGCCCTCTTCGTACATCTCGTCTTCCCAATCTTCTAGAGCAAGAAGTGAAGATTTGGAAGACTTAGATTGCGCGCCAAAAGAAAGCAAGTTTAAAAATGCCATGAAGATCAAAGCGGATCAATTCAAAACCAAGCTGCAGAGCATTAAAAAACCCAACATACATTTACCTAACAGACCAAAATTCCACAAACCCAACATGGAAAAGTTCAAGCTAAATTTGCCGAACTTTCCCAAGATTCCAGATACTATAAAAATCAACTTGCCGCACCGAAGCACCACGAAAATAATAAAAGAACGACAAGAATCGACGGAATCCAACGTAGGTGATTCTAAGAAACACACTTTCGACTTTAAAACGTATCCAAGATTCTTCAAAAGAAAATCAAAAGACGAAGGCATCAGTTCTTCTCAGGTTACGTCAAGTGCTGGAAGAAGCAAGTCCATTGAGAGATCCGTTCTTCCCTCAGGTTACGAAGGTTCGGGAGAGTCAGAAGCCAAGAAAACGTTTGACTTCAGCACATTCCCCAGACTCTTCAAGAAAACCGCGCCAAAACAGGACTCTCAAAAGCTCTCTTCCTCTGACTCGCCATCAGAACAGCCGATGAGAAGCAGATCGTATGACCGAGAGATCATCCGAGTACCTTTGCACTCCGAAGATTCCACAGAAAATGGATACAACCAAGAAAAACCGGAATACCACATAGAAGAAGAAGATAATAATTCGCCATCTCTTATCAGATACAACGAAGATATCGATATTGAGGATGACTATAATAGAGAGAACGTTGAAGTACCCGATGATTTCACAAACAGGTGGAGTCACGGGCGGTTTATTACCAAGGTGACGGATTTGGATTCCCCGGAAAGCCAGAATCCACACGAGTCTTTCGACATGAGCCACAACACTGATCCACATTCTTCTCAAAGCTCCATCGATGTAAGAAGACGCGGAGTTTTAGAAGAAATCAATTCTGATGAGTTTTTCCTGCGACAAAAAGGAATATCCCAAGATAACATAGAAGTAGGAAAGTATTTAAGTTCTGAGATTAAAGAGGCCTTTAAAGTTCCTAAAAATAGTTTATCCGATATGCAAAGAGAAAACTATGAAAGTTACGATTTGGGCTCCAATCAGTCATTGCCTGAGGTTCAAGTAAAAAAGAAACCAGCCAGAAAGCCAAGGAGAAAGAAGACACCACACGCTTCAGAAGAACAAATAAAATATCACGAATATGATTTAGACATTGAAAACCAAGAACAACCGACCAGACCCAAACGTACTAGTAGTAAATCAAAAAACATTGACGTCTTAAATGAAACAGATATTAGAGAAATTATGCAACGATATGCTAGCGATTCCTTTGACAGGCCATATTACGAGAATGACAAAATGAGAAACATTAATCAGCCAGATATTTATCTTGACCGTGGCTCCGATGATTTTAATATAAACTACGCTTCAGGTTTTGACGGGCAACCACAACCACCACCTAGGAAGCATAGAAGCATGAAGAGTTTGAATATGTCCGAACATGAGTCTATTATGGGAGATTTTGAAGACAAACACGTAAGTTAATACAATTTACGTTTAACAATATAAAAATATGCTCTTTTTTAGGCTGGACCTTATCAAGGTTCCTACGCTGACGAAGGTTATGATGACGACAGCCGATTTATACGAAAATACCTCGAAGCTTCCGAAGAAATGCCACCGGTTAGGCCGAAGCGTCGTTCAAACAGCCGAAGCAAAAGTTCGCAGAACCGCAGCACTTCAGAAATTCAAAGTATACCCGATATTCAATCAGAACAGCCTGTTGAAGAAGTTATACAAGAACCTTGTGTAAAAGTACTGGGAGATTATATGGGTTATTCCATAGTGGACAAGTCTAAAAGAAGAGATCCACCATTACCTCCACCTCGAACGCCACCCAGAAGACGAAGATCTTTAAAATCTACATCTTCTGAAAGATTCTCGACCGTCCCAAGGTCATCTCACGATGGACCACCTACAAGACCTTTGAGAAACTATAGTACTTTGGGCCATATAAGATCCTCCCGTAAAAGCTCTCTTAAGGATAATAATGAAAAGGAAAATATCGACATGTCGCAATATATCGAAGTCGAGGACGAATATGCTGCTAAGAGTCTAGTATCTGGAGAAGTCATTCAAAAGATGCGAGATAGACCTTTACCTGCACCTCCACGACCTCCTAGATCCAAGACCCACAAATCCAAACCATTCAAAGACATTACATCTCAACAAAATTTAGCAGAGCATATTAATGAGGAAGAAAAAGAAATATCAACCCAGACTGATCCAGTTCCCGACGATTTTGAATGCGAAGAAGTTAGGCAACCAGAGGTCGATGAAGAAGTATGTATTGTGAATGAAGAACCAAAATTAAATGTCGCTGTTGAAAAGCCAAGGGAAATAATTCGTGAACGGGTATTAATATTACCAGGTCATTATTCTTTCGAAGAAACCGTCACGCATGGTTCCTTGGTTGTTGAACCTTTAAATGGGGCTAAGATTATTGACGATTCAGAACTTACCAAACAAGAAAGAATAATTCCTGTTACCCAAGAAGAAGATGATTCCAAAGTGCCTGACGAATTTTACTTACTTAAAGATCCTGAGCCAGCACCGTCAAGAAAAAAGCGTGAGGCTCCAAGATTCGAACACATTGATGAACTGGATGTCGGTAGATTAAGGGTGCATGAATTGATGGCTGATAAGCTATCTGTTTCTGAAATTGATGCAGAGAATATTCAAGTAAATCAGTTAAATGCCAAATCGGGGACCATAGAAATTCCACAAGGTGTAATTGAGGAGATGATAAAAAAGGCAAGAAGCGAGGAGGTTAAATATGAAACAATTCCTGAAAAAAAAGAAGACGATAGTTTGGACAAAAAAAAACGAAGATGTAGCCCAGAAAATGTATACTTAGAAATCGAAGAAAGCATAGATCATTCCATATCAACCCATTATTATGAAGAACCTGTACCTCCAACACCTCCACCGAGAACGATAGAGGACGTACCACTAAACCTTGATCATCTTGAATCAGAAATAGTACCCTCGACTTCACCTCCCAGAGAAACCCAGGAAGTATCTTTAGAGCTAGAATCAGAAAATAATGAACCTCCTTTCCCCTTACCAAAAGCAATGGAGGAAGCACCTGTAAAACCTCCAAGACGATTAGAAGAAATAAATTTTAATCAGGAACCAGATAAACCTGAACCCCCAACTCCTCCACCCAGAGCCATGGAAGAAATACCTCTAAGACCTCCCAGACTATACAAAACTACCGATAATTCCGACGCAGGTACAATAGCGGAACCGGAAGTCGACGATCAACCCCCTCCACGACCTCCTCAACCAATAACAGGCTACATACCTTCGCAGCCGCCTGCCAGCTTCTACGCCCTGCGAGCCCAAAAATACGTGGACTCCCAAATGGAAGGCATTCCGTCAGCACCGAGGAGAAGGCGTCACCAGAGACGCGTGTCAAGGTCCACGTCGGAGGAGTCTTTGCCGGTGCACCCGTCTCGTAAACATTTGCGATCGCCCGAGCCCTCGATACCCCAGCTGACTGGTCAGCTGATACAGGCGTGCGGTTCCGCTGGCAACAGCGCTCTTAAAAGACTGATAGCCCACATTAGGGAGAATGTTATGCGGAATCAGGACGGCCAGCAGGACATGCACGTTATCGTGATCATCTTGCTAGTTCTGATAGCGGGACTTTTGCTGCTAGGCATCGGCGACGACAAGACTGTGGTTCATTTGCACCATTGGGAATACTTCAATCCTCCGAAAGACATGTAATTGTTTTGTGTATTCCATTATTTAGGATTGTGTGTTATTTAATTATACTTAATATCTCTCATTTTCTGATTATTTTGTTAATTAATTTATATAATAGTAGCATTTGCTTAATTTGTTAAGTTTCATATAAATTTGCTGTTTAATTCTAGATCACGTCAAATGTATAAAAATTGTTATGTTTTTATATTTAATTTAAAAATTAGGTACCTACCAATAAAGTTATAATATATATTTAATTTGAATTTATTTTTTTATTTTATTTTTGTTTGTTATAATCGTATGATAATGCGGTAGGTATATGTGATAGGTAATAAGAGTCTGCGGCAAATTATTTAAAAATACATTTTTATGCAAATTAAACGAAATTATCTTATTTGTTATGTGCATGCTAATTATAACTGTCCACAAAAATGTACCTAACTCTTATCATATTTGAGTAAATGTATGTATCATATATGTATGTATCATATTTGAGTAATTACTTATGTATTTATTATATCTAATAGATTATCTATTATAACACTGGTCTACAAATTAAAGAAAAAAAATTGACTGGAAAAAAGGAGGATGTTTTTTAAGTAATTTTGGTGTGCAGAATTTAAATTTACGGCAAAAATTGTGCTATTAGGTCTAGTTCTTTTTATGCCGCATGGTGGCGCTACCGTAATTTGACGAAAACCGACATTTCTTCTCAATCTCTATAATAATAGTGCTTAAGTATGTCAAGTAGATCGTGTGTTACTAATCCAAGCTATTTCTGCTTTGTTGTGGTGAATATATAGTTGGAAAAAAATGATATGCAATAAGAGAACCATTGAAATATGCATATTTACATTACTTTGGTTTTGCTGTCAGAAATTTGAACAGAACGTGGACACTGACATTGTTTTGCAATAGTTGCAGAGCTATTTTATACAAGTGGTCGAATGACGAAAAAAATATTTAGATTTTTCACTTCCAGTACTATAGAGAGAGCAAAGTAATCACCAAACCGATTGTAATTTTTTTAAATAAAAGTTGTTGGGATCAATACGAAAAATCGAAAAAGTGTGCAAACAAATTATTGTGAATTAGTTGCACGGATATCACTTAAAATGCATTTTTTGCATTCACATTTGGACTTTTTTCACAAAACCTGGGTGCAGTAAGCGATGAACAAGGAGAGGGCTCATCAAGATTTAATAAAAATGGAAATAAATTATCAAGGATTTTGTGACAAAAGTATGCTGGGAGATTATTGCTGGACTCGTGAAACTGCCCCAGAGAAATACAAACGATGTTCAAACACTGCCATTCACATTTGAAATTTACTTTATTTGTGAATAAATTTACGATCTTTTATTAAAAATATACGAAAACAATGATATTTTATATTTCAAAAACCTGACCTGTTAAGAGAAAAACAGTTACAGATTCAAAATCAGGGCACCAAATTACCTTACAAACACTATTTGGCTGCTCCAGTCCAAAACCTTGTATACCAGTGTAATTAACAATTGCCATGGCAGTTTGGCATCTTTTTTATCCAAAGTTTTTTTTATGTATTTTGGTGTACACTTCTTTTCACTAATTTTTAAATAAACATAATATATTATGTGTGCTTCTTAGAAAAAGAAACAACAGGAAGCAGTCTTAATATTTTCTAGCCGTACTAAGAAATGCGACGGAAGTCGCCATTTGCAACAACCAAATAGGTATTACTAATTTTTGGTGGTATATTACACAGGTATACAAGGTTTTGTACACAGGCAAATTAAAGGTGATTTTAAGGTGATCACGAATCTGCTATCCGTTTTTCTGGATCAGGTCAAGTTTTTTATTATTTTTGTTATTTTATTAGAAAATTGACTACATTTTAAATTGAAGTGCAGTATAACTGCGTTTTTTATAATTGTATGGGCTTGTTTCGCGTATAAGTAACCAAAAATAATCGCTTAACATCCCCTCGTCCCAAAAACCTTGGTAGTTTTTTTTCAATTTTCTGCAAATCTTGATGTAAGCGCTCTCCTTGCTCGTCACTAACATCGCCTAGGTTCTTCGGGAAAAAATCCAGATGGGAATCAAAAAAATGAATTTTAAGGGACATGCGAACACTCATTCTAAAATAATTGTCCAAAAGATCCGCGACAATTGCCTTGTAGTCTTTACTTTTTCTGTTTCCAAGGAAATTACGAACGACGCTTTAAATGAGGCCCATGCTGCTGCTCAGGCCCGTATCTAGACTTAAATTTCGGGGGGGGTTAGACCAGTGGCATTTGAAAAAATTTTTAAAGGTTTAAAATAAAACTATTATGTTTAAATGGGTTTTAATGAAAAAAAAACAGGTTAATAGTATATTATGTCTCAAGTTTTATAAACGCCATTTTAGTTACGAGTTTAATTAAGCACGAGCGAAGCTTGCGAGCGATTGTTTAATAAAAACGAGTGTCTAGAGAAGTTTATAAACGAGTTGCATACTATACTTTATCTACGACGAACACAAAACAGAATTTAAAGCCAATTTTATTTGTTAAAATTTTGACATCTGTCAACTGTCACCCGAATTTAACCTCACTTTTTCCCAATTTATAATAAAGATAACTTCAGCCTGTGACGTAAAATGTCGAAAAGCCACTGTTGTTAACTTCAGCCCGTCAATAAAACGCCATAAAGTTACAGCTCGTCAATGTAGGAGTAGATAAATATATTTAACATTTAACTTTAAAATTTAAAAAATAATAATTATAATTATAATAATAAAGGAATATTTCTCTGCTTTTCTCTCGCAAAACGATTTAAGACCTCTGTGGTATCTATGGTATCTATGCATACTTAAAAGGGCCAGACCTGTTAGACGTTCTTGACCAGTTGAATTCCGCAAATAGTCTTTTAAACGTCTCAATAATGAAAATGATCTTTCCGATGAAGCTGTAGATACATGTAATGTAGCAAGAATTTTTAAAAGAACATGTATATTAGGAAATATAGATCGATTGCATGCTGATAATGCGTCAATAGCATTTTTTGGTCTTCCAGCTTGAGGCAAGTTAGTCCATTTTTGTTTCCATAACTTTAACTCTGCAGATAAGGTATCAAAGTCCAAAAATTCTTCATATAAAGAAAAGTCTTCTATTTTTACTTTGTGTGTAACGCACATAGTTGGCACTAGAAAATATAATGATAAAAGTGTTTTTTTATGATTTGCAAATCTTTCAGTCAATTCTTCGATAAAATCGTCAAAAAAGGGAATTGCAACTGTAATTCGAAAATATTCTTCTGCAGTGGCTACCATGACATTAGGACGATTCTGCTGAAGTGCAACTATTCTTGGAATTTTTATGCACTCTTGATCATCTACAGACTTTATAAGTGTTTCAGATTTTTTAAAAATATTGCTAAATTCCTGATCTATATTAAGTCTCATATTCCTTACCTGACTAATAACAGTATCCACATGCTCAACAGCACTTATTAGATCAAAATCCACAGACTGTAAAATTCTGCATAAAGGTAGAGTAAAAGCAAATAAAGTGGACGCAGTTAACATACTGATGATAAACTCACTAGTCATAATCGCTCAAAGAAATGGCAAAGCTTTTGAGGAAGTTTCGATGTCTTTTACTAGTTTTAGATCTTCTAAATATGGAAAGTGATTTAAAAAATATGAAAACTATCAACAAAAATGTAACTTTTTACTGTGTATTACTTTTTTTATATAAATTTATATTTTGGGATTTTATTTTCTTTCGGGGGGGGGTTTGAACCCCCAAACCCCCCCCCTAGATACGGCCCTGCTGCTGCTTTAGTGGGAGATAAACATTTGGTGAAGTTGTCATCATTAATCAATTTTCTTATATCTGGTCCGACAAAAATTCCTTCTTTGATTTTCGCGAAATTTTGGGGAACAGTTTAATAAGATATTGAAATCCAGGCCCTTCACGCTCAAGTGTCTTTACAAAGTTTTAAAAAATGCCGAGCTTAATGTGCAACGGTGAAGAAACATACGTTTAGGATCAACTAAGGATGTAGCAGAAACGCTATGTTGTCCTGGTGTATATTGATCCCGAATCAGCCAAACTTTTTGTCGGTAATGTTTATCAGTGGCGCGACTATCCCACAAACAAAGAAAACAGCAGTATTTTGTGAAGCCGGACTGCATACCAGTTAACAAGCCAATCACCTGAATTAAAATTTATTTTTAACGTAAAAAATGTATTACCCACCTTGAGATCGCCACAAATTTTCCAGTTGTGTTTTTTGTATTGAATGTGTTTCAAAATTTCATTTATCGTTTCGTAGCTTTCCTTGACGTTTACCGCATGAGCAATTGGTATAGAAGGTTTATTATTGCCATTGTGTAGAAGAGCGGCTTTAAGACTGTATTTTGAGCCTTCGATAAAGAGACGCCATTGCGTCGAACAAACCCGCCACATTATTGCAAAAAGACATGTTATTTAAATAATAATAATAATAATAATAATAATAATTGTTTTGAGAAAAAGGGCAAAAGCGAATTATTTCGGGTTCTGTACATGGTAACCTTCGTGATGCTAGCAATTCTGCTTTTTGTTTAGATAATTGCAAGTCTCGTACCAAATCACTTAGCTCAGTTTGTAAAATTAAATGATTTTCGTCAAACTCAAACTCGCTGGCACTACCTACTCATCATATTGTCATCAAACTCTTCCATGCTTATATGCGTTGTGGGTAAAACAGGTAAAGGGTCATTTTCGTGAAGAAGAACTGGCTTTGATACTGATAAAACTTCTGGATATTTCAGGCTTTTTAAATTTTTTGAATTTATAACCATAACGTTCGTTAAGCAAAAATAGTGTAGCGAGTACCGCTCTGGATATCGGAGTGATGACTCATCGCCGGTTAGTCATCGCCGGTGAGTCATCGCCGGTGACTCAGCGCTCGAATAATCGAGAGTGTGGAGCTCGCTGGAATGTTCCAGAAGACTTGGGCGCTAAATATATAAGAAACGGAGCAGCACAGGGCAGTCAGTTGAGCTTTGGTACGCGCGAAGAAGTAAATAAATAAGTGCAAATAAATAAACTAGTAGTGATGTAAATAATTAGTAGTTAAGTGTTTAGTTAGTTTTATAGTGTTTTAAGTGTAGTTAAGTTATTAAATAAATAGTTTAGTTCGTTAATTAACCAGTGCGTGTTTTAATTCACACTACGAACAGGTAAAAACGTTACAATTGGTGTCAGGAGTGCGGTTAGTGTGAAAGTTCGTGAA